CCTATAATGAGTTTACATATTATGTACACATGTACATATCGCCCGCCGTCTTCAAAAGAGTCACAACTCAAAATTTGGCATTTTTAAAATGATGAGCTTTTATTTACCTTTCAACAAAAGCTAGAGCACATTTTTGTTATAATTTGTTAAAAAAAAAACCTAAGGTAAAGTCGCCCTTGCCCATATGATTAGCATGTGTTACGAAGTAGTTTTTTGCATTTTCTGACGAACGTATTATTTTGAGTTGTGTCCCTTTTGAAGATGGTGTGCGATATCGTCTCTAATCCTTGTTTAATCCATGTATAACCCGTCAAGACATGTCAAGTCTTGATTTCAAGTCTACTCGTTCGTAGGCGAAGTAGGTGAGACGAATGTACTCTTCCCCTCTTTTCTCACCTCCTTCGCCAACGAACCGAGCAGGCTTGAAAGCAAGACCTGACGTGTCTGAAAGGGGTCTTACTGCATTAATCCTTACTGTTTACTTTAGCAAGGATTAGACATGGATAAGGCAAGGATTAGAGACATGAGCCACTTAACAGTAGCAAGCAGTGGATTTTATTCGTTGAATTTTGAATTGTGACGTTATTGCAGAGGACCATCGATATGTATGATTTTAAATCTTCTTAAAATTCGATTTAGAAGCATTTTATTTATTTAAGGCAAGCACTAATTTTTTCATAAAAACATTAAGTTTTAAAGAATTTCACTTAAAATGTACATTACAGACCGTATGTATATGTAGTAAAAATATTTAAATTTTTTCGAATATAATATAGCAGCTAGCAATTTCCACTTTAAAGACTTACTAAATATGCATATGTATGTCAAGTTTTAAAACGATGTGCATTAGCAACGAATGCACTATATATTTTATCTAATAGTGCGAAAAAGTATTTAGTTATTGAAAATTGGATTTTTACAAAATTCGTTCTTATCAGTGAAAGACTTGGTCTATTATATAATAAAAGTCATATTTGTATAGTATAGTAGTCTTTTGTGAGTGAAATCAGCGCTTAAGCTTTTCGGAATTCCTTTTCATTTTTGATACAAATATCTTATTTGAAATTTAATGTACTTGCGTGTACTTATATATTTAGGTATTTCGTAAGGACTAAAATATCACATGGATATTAATTACGTATTTATAACCGCTCTGATGCGAAGGTATTAAAATATTTAACAATCTGAGCACCTTATTGGTTACTTCATTATATCTATAGCTATGCAATTATTTTTATAGTACATGATACAAGTACTATTTTAATTAATACTACTACTATTAGTTATTTTGGTCAATTATGTTTGACTGGAAGATGAGCGTTTTATTTAACCATAGTTATAACTGTGTTAATGAATATGTTGGAAAACGTTGTATTAAAGATTTCTTAGATCTACTCTATTCTCGCTTTACTCAATGTTTGCTATAAATTTTATAAATCGATATTGTGTCTACGAAATTCTAATAAATAGTAATTGCTACTACTTTAGTTTGATGCATAAGATAAGCTTAATTGCGTTGTGCTATCACTTCGTATTTGTTCCTTTGGGACATAACGTTTTATATTAAATTGCTACGTTGTTAGGACTACTCAACAAATTTAACAACTAGTTATTAACTAGGACATATATAAAAATTTATACATTCATGTAGCGGTAGCCGCCACTACCAATTCGGTAATTGTCATTCAGTTTTATATACTGTCCTAGGAAGTATTGTACTGGTCCACTACGACAAATCCCATGCAAATAGGCCACCAAATATGGTGTCAAAATTGTGAAGACAATATAGCCAACAGTCGGCATACGGCCGGTATGACCTACTGGGCAAAACCAATAACCACGTCGCACAGCGTCACGGGTGTGATGAGTAATAAAAGCGCAAAGAAATACTCCAAAGGTTAATGATGTTTTAAAATAGTTGAGACTTGCGGTGCATATATAGAAAATGAGCAGTACAAACAATATGCTCGAACAATGTAGAAAAGGACGACGGGGTAAATTAGTCGCATCCTGCAAATTTAATTATTTAGAAAAATATGTTATACAAAAGGTTCATGAACTTCTCACCTCTAAATACAATGAGCGTGCTTCTATAAAATGGTCTAAATCGATTAAAGATGATACAGCAAAACAACAGAAAATCAAAAACCATCCAAGCAAGTTGCTGGTGCGCTCGTGGAATTGAACCGCGAACGCGATCCCGGTTAATGCACCAATTATAGCATGAGTAGCATTATCGGCTAATGCCTTTAATAGCGGATGTTGTGTAAGTTCGACGAAATTATCTCCCAGAAGACAGGTGATAGTCAGTAGCGTTGTAAGCACAATACGAACATAGACCATGATATGGCAGTGCATTTGCAGTTTAAGCGAAAAGCTAAGATTACTGGAAATATGAGTACAAGTGCAGAGCGAAGGGAATGTCGACCTTAAACGAAAACTTTCCTCGGCGATCTTTTTAGTTGGACGGACCAAAACTTTTAATTGTTTTCTTGAGTCATTCAATTATTTCCGTTTTAGAAAATTGTAAACTAGTCTTCTATACTTTATCTCAAAACTGTTGTATAAGTTGTGCGTTAAATTTTAATGCATAAATGTACACTTGGCAAAAAAGGCACTATTGTACACATTAAATTTTGATTTCGTTTAATTCAGTGAGTCACCTATTAAACTAAATAAAATAAACTATAAAATATGTAGTTAGGTGTCGTAGTGAAAATACAGAAAATTGAGTTTTACCTGTGTCGATTTTTCACAGCCGTACACGCGACACCTTTTGAATTGGCCATGTGCGAAATGCGAAATATGGGGTGCGGACAATTTCCAGCTCCCTCCCACTGCTACAACAATGTCCTTAATCCTTTTCGACGGTTTGTGTACAATTTACAGCGTTTATTGTTTCGTTTCTCATATATTTTTTGTTTTTTGTTTTCACCGGCCTATGCTAATCAGCTGTACGACCACGGTTGCATATGAGAAATGAAAAACCTTTAAATTAACCTTTCTGAGCGCGCTAAAAATTAATTTATCGAAAGTATAAATTACACGTACTACATAAGTACATATCGCTAGCTTAGAGTGAAAAGTTGCTAAGTCAGTTAAATGTATTCTCGTATATATTATAATTATTATTGAATGAAATGAAAATTTGCTAAGTCCAAAAAAAGCTCCGAAAATTCGATAAGGCCAAAATAGTACGAAATCTTTGAATGAAGATCTAATCCCCCTGACTCGTATGGAGTTTCGTATGTTGTATTCAAAGTTTTGCGAAATACTTGCAGAAAATGGCCATAAGAAGTCTTTTATCTCTCCTGTACAATTTTTAAATTGGGACTTAGCAACTTTTCACTCTATAGCGATATTTTCTTATTGGGTACTATTCATTGATAAAGTAAAAAAACCTTTGTTTGTTATAAATCTACTACATTATTATTCGATAGATTGGAATTTATTTAACATGTATAAGAAAATTTCATGGTTTATTAACATATATTTGTCGTGCAATCTTCCGGTTCGTGGCGTGGCGCCAAATTAAAACAGCTATTTAATAAAGGTGCATTTTAGAATGCTGGAAGTCCAACTTAAATTTCGAAGTAAACTTAAATATGAACAGTAAAATTAAAAAAATACGCCTTCCAGTAGAGCTGAAACAACTGCAGAAGAACAGTTCGGAACATGGTAATTTAATAAATATTGACCAAGTTATTGTATTGACCATCTCTTCGTTTTGCAAATATGCAATCTTTGCAGGAATCACTTGTGCTTTTGCAGATTCAAATGATAACTCTTCGCATTTAGTAGCAAATATACCGGGACCAAAAGGGTCTCCGTACGAAGATGGAATATTTAAAGTGAGCATCGTTTTGGGCAGCCAATATCCTTTCCAACCACCCACTTTCAAATTCATGTCGTCCATCTATCATCCAAATATTGACAATTGTGAGTTACTTTAAATAAAAATAGATTTATTCGATTTTTGTACATATAACTTCCTTAGCGGGCAAGATTTGCTTGGATTTATTGCGTATGCCACCTACTGGCTCTTACAATCCTGCTATTACACTGGAGTCAATGCTGCTGTCAATCCAGTTGCTTTTATCCTCCCCTAATCCAGACGATCCTTTAAATGGCGAAGCTGCCGACTTGTTCAAAACAAGTAGGGAACAATTCAACATAAAAGCACGCGAGTTAATACCCAAAAATTGTTTGAATGCCGAAGATTCAGATAAGGAGACTGCGACCGACACAACACAGGATGTCTCCAACAAGTGTGATGATACAGTAGTAGGACCAGCATCAAAGCGAAATAAACCCTGCTAAGCCCGGCCTCGCAGTTTGGGGGGAAATTACAAAGCAAGCTGTTGAGGAATAAAATTATATTTTAATATCTTCATTTCGCAAAGTTTAATCTTCGTTACAATTATTTTTATTCAATACAGTTCAGTTTATTTCAATTAATATTATTCTGACAATTATTTAGTTAGCAATTCTAGTTGTAATGGGCGTGTTAAAATGTTAAACTGCGAATTTCATTTAGACGCAAGATGCGCGTGCTTGTGTCCTATAAGTTGCTATACGCCATTTCTAAAACGTAAAATTCTCAAAAATAAACGAGAACTAAACAAATAATTAACAAATAAACATATTTCTTTAACTATTTGACTGTTTCGCTGTATATCTGCCTAATTATCGTCTTTACATAAATATGTCTAAATCAGAGTCATTCAGTTAATTGGGATGGGCCATGTCGGATAAGATAAGAACATACTTTAAAATACTAAATAATAGCAAAATAATTACATGAAAGCATTGTTTAAAAAAATTGAATTACATCTACTTAAAATGTTCTTACAAATAACGCATATCTCTCAGTAAACGACTTGTTTTATATGTTCGCTCTCAGGCTCACGGTGGCGGCGTAGGCAGTGAACTGACAACAGATCGTAGAAACATTTTTGAACTACAAAATAAAATCGGTTACAGATGAATTTCATAATGCATAGTCTGGTGGTGTACTACTAAATGGATGAATGTGTTATATGAGACGACGCAGCGAAGACACTTTCTAGTTGACATTGACCATTCTGGCGAGAATTAAAATGTCCATCGCTAAGCAGCTCATCATATAAGGATGTAAGAATCTATGTGTCCTTGTGTTTTTCGTAAAAGGCATCCAGGTATTTTTTGTACTCGGCTTGGTCCGCCCACATCATTGCTGCTTGAGCATTTAGCGGACTGTCATTATTGGGCTCACCCAAAAGCGATTGGATGGACAGCAGAATTGTGCGTACATCATATAGTGCGGACCACTTATCTTTTAATATATCCAAACAAATGCAGCCAGCTAGATCTACATTTGGATGAAAACATGGTGTTAGAAATTTCACTGCTGGCGGTGCGTAGGGATATGAGTTTGGAAATTCCAATGATAGACGATATTTTTGTCCCATATACACAGTATTGGCTGGGCCAGCAATTGTACCAATCCATTTAAATATATTTTCTCCATCGGGGAAGGCTGATATACCTTTCTCTGTAGCCATCATCAGATTCATCAGCTCCTTTTGAAGTCTGAAGTGAATAAAGAAAAATAGCAGGTATAAGGGTAATTATGGAGACATTTCTGAAGACATGTCTGTGGTGGACCTACCGTTTACTAACTGCATGTCCATGCTTTGCTGCACAGGAGTTGGAGCCTTGCTTGGCAGCGTCTACGCCACTATGCTCTGGACTGATGTTCTGCGCCATTGCGTTTTGAAGGAATTTCTTACTGATCCAAGGACTGTTCGATTCACAAACTAAGGCGAGGACAATTTTACCAAATTGCTTATTTTTAGACCCTAGCCAACGCGTTTATTTATTGCGAGCGACAATTTTTTCTGCAGCTGCCTTGTTTTCTCTATTTGATGACTTTTTTCGAATATCTTTAGTGATGTGCTGAATAGTCCGTCCGAAATACGAGAAAATAATTGCGGTACCCAATACTTTGTTTTCGGTACCTGATACCGATTCGATGCACTAACAACCCTATTTCATAACAATAACAATGACAATTGTCACCATTAGAGCACTTCAAATAAATTGCGGCAGTAGTTAAGACAATACTCAACCGTTGAATTTTGTCGTCGGCGTGGGAATAGGGCTGTAAAGAGCGAAATACACGGAAGAAAACTAAAATGCTTTGTATGTTTCACAAGCCGCTTGTGTGGTGTATTTCGCTCTTAATGCCTCAAATACACCACACAAGTATTTGTGCAAATTCTAATTGGTGCAAATAATGCCTTGATTATAATATAAAATTATTTCGTTTTACGTTACATTTACGTACATTATAGCAATTTGCATTCTATACACAAACAAACAGTTATTGTTGTTGAGCGGGTAAACCCCGCTCGAGTTGGCTTATCTATCTGCGTTGTCGTCTGGTTCAGATTAAGTGACAGTTCACTCCCCCCCGTTACTTCCATTGTAACCCAGGGATACGCACGAACAGAAATTTGAAAAATTCTTATATGTGTCAATTTGTACTTAGCAAATACTTGTGTAGTGTAAGGGCCCTACAAACCTTTGGCCAAGGTACATAAATTTCAAGTTTGGAGAAAAAATGTCATTGTACAAATAAGACGTTGATTTCTCAAAGGATGAGCAATGTGTATGTACGCATTTAAGATTTCCGTTTAGATCCAAATAATGTAGAAAAATAGATTTTTTTAACCACAAATTAACGAGATTCGTTTAACAGCTGATCGGGTTTTATTCCATATTTTTAGCTGTTGCAGAATCTTATTAGAAATTCCAATGTTTAGGCACCAAGTGTCGAATGTATTGGGTACTGTTCAAATCGGTACCGAGTATTGATCAATACTTGAGGGCATCGACTCAGCACATATCTAGTATTTTGACACTAACCAACCGATTGGTATTTCTTGCGGGAAGAAAGAAGAAACAAATAAACAAAATGGAGATTTTGGAGGCCCATCTAGCGGTGACTAGCCACACAAGAGGAATGATTTGGCAAATGACACGTATACTTGACATTCAATCAGTGTTGCCAACCCTACCGTTTCAAAAACCACCAAATTTGGGAAAAAGGCGTTTTAACACATTATAAGCACTAAATTTTATTAATCAAAGGATAATTTTTTTCATACCAGTTTTTTTTTACAAAAGTAAACAAATTAACAAACACATGCTATGATGACTCATGCTTACTAAGTAATACCGAAGTACTGCACATTAAAACTGGTATATCTCGAGAAAGAAAAATCGAATCGCAACAAACTAAAAGGAATTTTAAAGGGGAGAGTAATACTCAATGATGCCCTACGTAGAAATTAGAAAAAAATTGTTGTTTTCATGATGTAACCTCAAATATCGCCAAAACCGTGTTTTTGGCACTCTGAGGTTAATATATCTCAATATTCTGACGTGCTAGAGCGGTTCTGCGGCCAGATTTGGATTCAACACCAAAAAATCTACAAGTAACGATGCGTTTACTCATGTGGTAGAAATATTCAACATTTTTCGAATTTTGTAATCAATTAAAATATGTACAAATAATTATAATACAAAAATAATTTTAATAATCAAATAATTATAATTATAATTAGAAAAAAAATAAATACTTACTTAACTTATTTACCTGCGCTTTTTATCAATCATGGTTGCATTTTAGTGCATTTAAATTTGTAAATTCAGTGCGGCACAGCTTTAAATATTTAAATTATTTCGGGTTTAACTGTCTATGAGAAATCTGAGTTCAGAAAAAAAGCACTAAACAAGGGACTAGGACTAAACTATTTTTTTTGCGTTTTAATTTTCAAAAAGCACTAAATCTAGAACTTAAAGCAGAAAGTTGGCAACTATGCATTTAATTGGCTTTCGTGTAACAACCCTGGCAAATCGCACACCGTCTTCAAAAGAGTCACAACTCAAAATAATACGGTTGTCAGAAAATGCGAAAAAATATTTCTTAGCACATGATAATCATATGGGCGAGGGCAACTTTACCTTAGATTTTTTTTAATAAATTATAACAAAAATTTGCACCAGCTTTTGCTGAAAGGTAAATAAAAGCATTGTATGCATTTTTAGCGCATAATTTCAAAAGTGATAAATTTTGAGTTGTAACTCTTTTGAAGACGGTATACTATTTTGTTTTCTTTTTAGAAAAAAAAAAAAACAAAATCAATAAACAAATTCACAAAGGAGCAGGACGCAACTATTTTGGATTTGCTTGGATTCAAAACAAATGGCCCAGTCTTCACAAATAAATCAATCGCCTTCTGCAAAGGGAAATAATGGTGTCGCAACGGAAGATGTCACCCCCGAAAGCGAATTTGAGGGTTTCCATAACTACACTGCAGCCGAAGTTTTCATACAAGGTCTCGCTGGACTAGTAAATCAAGGCGATGTCGAAACCATGATACGCGCGCAGAAACAAATGCAAGATGAACATCCTGTCTTTTTATCTCACAATTTACGTAAAAACTATTTTTGTTTTACGCAGGTTACAGCGCTTTGAGAAGACGAATGAGATGATGTTAAACTGTAATCAATTATCACAAAGTCGCCTGAAAAATGCAAACGACGACTTTAAAAAGCATGTAAAATTGTTAACTGAAATGAAAAAGGATCTTGATTACATTTTTCGAAAAGTGCGTTCCATTAAACAAAAACTGAACCAACAATATCCCTTAGCCTACGCCGAAGCCCAACCACAAAGAAGCAGCTTAGCTGAAGAAGCAGAAGACGAGACAGAAGTAGCGAGTTCTCT